CATATGCAATATTACCTAGATAATATTGCACCCCTTGGCTAAAATTGAGATAATATTGCATGCAATGTTATCTCAAATTCACTGCACATTGTAAATAATTTACAGTATTTACTAATTTACAGCATTTAAATAATAGTTTAATTAAGAATTAATTAATTAATATTTAAGGTAGAGAAATATTCCACAAAATCTATTATTTTTCGCGTTCAGATACATCGTCGGTCAGACCCGACGGTTCAGTCGACAAGGGTTCAGATAGACTATTATTATTAAATACCATTGATTTAATAATCAAATGTGTTTCTGAATTTTATTTCACTTTTTAATTCATATTAAATTCAATTCTCTGTCACTCATGTCTTAACTCATAACTATGTCTATCATTTCATTTGTGCTTACATTTGTTGGATTCTAGATTCTCAGACATTTTATTGTCTTTAAATAGTGTTTGACAGGAAATTGTTACAAATTTTTTTGACCATAAATTTACACTTTAAAACTACTATTTAGGTAAATGTCTACACATTTTATATGCAAAACTAAATTTGTTTAAATACCCAGACCGGCATTGTAAGTACTTATGAATGGCCTGCAATACACGCTTTATTTTGAAATACAGTTAACTCTCAGTATACAATTAATAAATTTTCTTACACAATAGATTTTGTAAAATATGTTTTTACGTTATGAATAAAACAGCAAACTTATAAATAACATTAAACAAATATTTATAACATTTTTACATTTAATTAAATGTACAAGTTATATAAGGAAAACGTATTAATTATATACAAAGTGTTAACTGTAAGGCGTGTATTGCAAACAATTCCTAAGTACTTACAGTGCCGGTCTCGGTACTTAAATATTTTTGGCAATTTTTGATAAAATTTAAAATTGGGCTAAAATCAGGTGCAATATAATCTAGATAATATTGCACCCCTTTACTGATATTAACATTATATTGCATGCAATATAATCACAGGTAATACGGTAATACTTAAAAATCGATTGCAAAAATTCAATTTTTAAGTTTTATCACCAGTTAGAATTTATAAATGATTTATTGTAAATAATTTAAAAATTGATTTTTTAGATTTTTTAAATACTTATAATTTAATTAATGTAAAGTATAGACAAAAGTTGATTAAGAAAATATAAATTGTTTTATTCATCAAATGTTCATGTTACAAAACTACAATTGAAATAAGAGTTCAATTCTACATTCTGTATATGAACAGGCAATAAATTATGGATCTTGTATTTTAATGACAACTTTTCCAATATTGCGGCCAAAATGCAAATGCTGTTAAATATATCGATTTTAATTCATTACAATTATTACAATAATTAAACACAATATTATCTATACCTCCACTCCTCTGACCACAGAATCAATTCCATTGAATTCTCCTTCACTTGACTTTTGGCCAAAATCNAGTTAAAAAATATAAATTGATTGATATTTACCTCCACTCCTCTGACCACAGAATCAATTCCATTGAATTCTCCTTCACTTGACTTTTGGCCAAAATCTAAGACAACTCGCAATTTATTGCTCACAACGTCTCCAACCAATTGTTTCAAATATTTGGGGCACAAGTGTTTGAAATTGAATAAATAAAATCCAGATAAAGTCTTAGAGCCTCTCAATAACTGTAAAATTTCAATCATTACTAAATTATTAGTAAAATTCATTTTGAAACTTACTTTAGCCTGAAGATTATCAATGGGTGCGCCGCCAACCCCTTCAGTCTTGTACGCACTGATAGAGCCCACAAGAATTAATCGCCCATGCACAGCTAGATGACTAAATAATGTCTCAAACACTTTGCCTCCAATTGTCTCCCAAATCACATCCAATCCGTCCTGTATTTCATATAAGTTTAGATATAAATAACAATTTTAATCAATATATAAATCAATATAAAACCGGAAACTCTTTAGTGAGCACTTCATCCAAATTCTCGGTCTTATAATTGATCACTCGATCGGTTCCCAACTCTTTCAATAGTT